AGTAGTCTAAACCACCATCTGGGAGGTCTTGAGAAACTTGAACTGGAGGAGTCACAGTAGGGTCTTGATCGTCAAAAGCAGCACCCAGAACTTCCTTACTGCTTGCAATGTCTAGCCCAACCCTTGGAGGGGTGTCTGACTGCCTTTGCTCGCCGAAACGAAGTTGCCTAGTAGCTGGAAGTGCGTCTGACCCTTCAAAATTGCACAAAACAGAATTTTCGGCACCAAAATCAGCGCCTACGATGCCCGAATCAGTGCCTGGAGTGGCGCTCAGACCTGCCCATGAACCCAGGCTGCTACCCAACTCCTGTNCACAAAGCAGAATTTTTGGCACCAAAATCAGCGCTTACGATGCCCGAATCAGCGCTTGGAGTGATGCTCGGACCTGCCTATGCACCCAGGATGCTGTCCAGCTCCTGTACTGCACTCCTGCTGGCCTGGACAACTCTTTTTCCAGTTTGCACAGTGCTGCCCAGCCCACCAAGCGTCACGCGCGCGCTGCCCAGTCGCGCGTTTGCGCTGTCCAGACGATCCAGGCTGCTGCCCAGCTCTTGTACTGCACTCCTGCTGGCCTGGACAGTTCTTTTTCCAGCTTGCACAGCGCTGCCCAGTCGCACATTTGCGCTGTCCAGACGATCCAGGCTGCTGCCCAGCTCTTGAACTGCACTCTTGCTGGCCTGAACTGCTTTTTCTCCAGCCTACACAGCGCTGTCTAGCCCCCCAGGAGTCACGCGCGCGCTGCCCAGTCCGCCAGACTGCGAGTGCACGCCGCCCAGTCGCAGGTTTGAGCTGTCCAGTCCGCCAGGCGTGCTGTCCAGACCTCCTTGCTCACTATCCAGACCTCTTTGTGCGCTGCCCAGCCTTCTTGCACTGCCCAGGTCGCCTCCCTGCGCGCTGGTTTGCACAAAAATGTTGTCCAACAGAGAGGTTTGGGAACCCAAGCTGTCCAACCCACCACTTTCGGCACCCAAGCTGTCCAGTCCACCATTTTCGGCACCAAGGCTGTCCAAGACAGCACCCGAATGCTCAAAACCAGCTTCCAAGCTTCCTAAAATGGTGCTTACCTCCTCCCTTTCTTCAATCTCCACCACTCCCTCTTCAATCGGCATTGCCTACTTGAGAAACTCTACTAAAAAAAGGAAGAAATCTCACTCTTGGAAGGATTCAAGGAGAACACATTTTAGTTTCAACAAAATGAGTAGGACTTGAGTTCTCAAGGTTTTCAAGAAGTGGGTGCTCAACCTTAAAAGTGAGTGAAATGGGTAGCATGAAAAAAAAGACTATATTTATAGTCTAGGGTTTTTCAAAAGAAGGAAAAAGTCCAAATTGAAAATTATGGGTCTTCTTCAAAATAAAGTGGGAAAAACTTGAAGTTTGCACCAAATAAAAATAAAAATAAATAAATACAATTGAAGAGTCAATACCTCATTCTCCAAGTTTTACTTGAACACGGGGCATTGGGGGGCAAATGATGGGTCAAGCCCAAATAGCCCAATTGAAGAGCCCAACCTCATGAAAAATCCACCAAGCCCAATATAGTCCAAGGCCAGTTAGACTCTTTGCTTAGCCACGTCATTAAGGGGGAGAGCATGGGAAGTTCTATCTGCACCACCGAAGGAAATGGTCCACTCTCACGTCATCTTTGACCGCATCTCATGGAGAGCTCTCCAACCTCCTCGCCCGTTGAGAAGAAATCGTGAGCTCCACCAAAATAATCTTTTAGTTGCTGTAAAGTAGCCCAAATCTGTTAGGGGACTACTATAAATTGCATGCCCCATGAACACTTGAGGGGCATGAGACTGATTGTTTGGCACCACACCTTCTCTGACTCTCTCTTCTCCCTCGAAGCTTGTATTCTCTGTCTCCACACCCTTAAATTAATAAAATACCCGACAACGAAAGTCATTCAAGAGTGGACGTAGGTCGAGTTGACCGAATTACTATAAATCTTGTCTCCTCCAATTCTCTCTTTACTTTTACTGCATTTATTATTTACACTTGACAGGTAGTGTTCAAAACCATATTTGTGCATCATCAATTATAATAAACTATAATTATTTATAATTAATCATTATTATTTTATAATAATGTTAAGATATTGATCTTAATATTTTCATCATTGATAGCAATATGATACCAATTTTTTTTTCTCTCTATCAACTACTGAGCATAAATGATTGATCAGATGAAGATAGTAATAATAAGAGAATGTCAAAGTATCATGAATTTAGGGTTGAGATTGAAGAGGTTAGCTTGGAAAATCATCGATTTGACTTCCTCACATGGGTTGAAGAGGTTTTCGTCAATTTTTTGGACGATAGTGAGGAGTAAGGACAAAAATCAATTAATGTTTTAACTTAGAAAATGAAATTGATGCAGATAGAACTTCAGAGATAAAAAGTGTAATAAGTGACAAACCTAATGAACTAACTATGCAATTTATCCTAAAAAATTAAAAACAAAGTTGATAATCTAAAGCAGAAAGATTACCTTAGACTATTACTTAAATACTGTTATTTTTAAATAAAAATATCGATCTATTATACTTTTCAACTTATTTATTGATCTATTGCAACTTTTGAATGACTTTTTCTCTTTTAGTTGTATCACTTGTTGAAAGCGAAATTAATAATTTTGCTTTCAAAAATTATAATATCTCAATAAATAAATAAAAAGTACAATATATCGATATCTATATAATAAAGTAACTTATAATTCAAATCTCAAAAGATAAATAAAATGACTTTTGTTATTCGCGGTTAAAATTACTTTAAAGTTAATCTAACGACTAATATTAATACCTTAAATTTAATAGGAAAAATATGTCCCTAAGGGTGTGTTTGGAGTGATTTTTTAAAAATACTTTTAGAAATTATTTATCATAAATATTTTTAAAAAAATAGTGTTTAAAACTGTCCCACCACCACTGTCGTCATCGTCGTCGCCGCCGTTTCCCCCACCACCGCCATCTCCACCACCACCACCACCATCGCCGTCGTCGTCACCATCACTGCCGCCGTCACCCCTCTCTCACCACCACTGCCATTACCATTATCACCGTCATTGCACGCCCACCACCCCCCACCCTGCCACCGTTGTTGTCGCCACGACCACCACCACCATTGTCATCGCCTTCGTCACCACCACGGTCGTTATCATTCATCACAACTATCACCATCTCCTTACTGTCGTCCACCACCTCTTACTTTCACTACAAATCGATGCTTAAATTCCTTTAACTCTTTTTTACGTTTATGATTTAATTTTAAATATTAATATTAATATGTTTATTATTTATCATATTTTATTACTATGTGTCTTCGGGCATTGATAATAACTAATTTTTATATAAAAATAATATTATTTTAATNTAAATATGTTTATTATTTATCATATTTTATTACTATGTGTTTTCGGGCATTGATAATAATATTAAAAATATATTTTTATTATAATAAAATTATTATTTAAGGTTGAAACAGCGGCTCGGAGAAAAATATATTATCTGGTTTCGTACTTTGACTTATGAGTTGTTCGGAGTCTCTCTCCTTTCTCCGCCGTTTAAAATTTCTCAAACTTTGAAACTCACCTTCAAAGTACTATCGCCACTTTGCCAAAACGTCAAAAGATTACCCATCAATGGCCACACAGTTGGACTTTTCTCTCCCCTTCTGTCCACAGTAAAGTATCACTTCTCCAACCCAACTAGCTTCCAAACGAGAACCATCCATGATTTCGGAAACAACAAGCACAACCCAGAATTCTGGGGTTCACGATGAAGAAAAAGTTGCAGTGGCGGCAGTAAGAGAAGATTCACGTGGCCATGAAGAAACTAGAGGGACATGGAAACACGCCGCTTTCCACGTCGCGACGACCATTGCCACCCCGGCCGCTTCCCTTCGCCGTTGCTTCGCTCGGTTGGCCTCTCGGTAATAACTGTCAAAAGCTGGTGTCCGTGTTAAAATTTGATATTCTATCGGAAATTAANCGACCATTGCCACCCCGGCCGCTTACGCTCCGCTTCCCTTCGCCGTTGCTTCGCTCGGTTGGCCTCTCGGTAATAACTGTCAAAAGCTGGTGTCCGTGTTAAAATTTGATATTCTATCGGAAATTAACGGAGCTGAATTTTGAGTTAATTAAAAAATTATTATCCATTTGTTTAGAATATGAAGTAAGGTTTCGANATGGAGCTGAATTTTGTAAATTTTGAGTTAATTAAAAAATTATTATCCATTTGTTTAGAATATGAAGTAAGGTTTCGAGCTCGAATAATTTGATTATTTTATATATAAATAAATTGAATTTTGTAATTTTTAAGCTAAATTTTATCGGAGACCTAATAACTCATCTCGATTAACACTCTACCCAACATTTATATGAATTGAGTTTAGGAGATTTATTTATTTACAGTAATATTATCTTGACCAAATTTTAGGGCCAAATTTAGAGTTTAAATGGCGTGGTAGTTGACATAGACTTCTTTATTTGGTACCATGTCATTTGGGTCCTAATAAAGTCTCCAAATAATATATTATCATGTCATTTGAGCTCCATATTTAATTTTAAAATTTGGTCAACATAGCATTACTCATTTATTTAACGGGTNTTCAAATAATATGTTGTCATGTCATTTGAGTTCCATATTTAATTTTAAAATTTGGTCAACATAGCATTACTCATTTATTTAACGGGTTTAACCGATAATTGATTATAACTAAGCTACACCCAAATTAGAAATTTTGATTTCATACAGTAGAATTTTGGCAGTAGTCTTTACAGTAGAATTTTGGCAGTAGTCTTTACTTTTTGTTAATTTCTTGATAGAGCTTATGGTACTGCTCAATCGGGGGCTTTTTGAATTGGGTTTTGTGACAATTTTGATTTCATGTAGCAAATAATGGTTTGAATGATTTGCAATTCAGGGGTCATTAGTTTGGTGGGTGCTACATTNTATGGTACTGCTCAATCGGGGGCTTTTTGAATTGGGTTTTGTGACAATTTTGATTTCATGTAGCAAATAATGGTTTGAATGATTTGCAATTCAGGGGTCATTAGTTTGGTGGGTGCTACATTGGCCACATGGTATTCTAGTCTATTGATTGCGTCCTTGTGGGGATGGAATGGCAAGAAGCAGAAAACATATCGACATCTTGCACAGAGTATATATGGTTGGTCACCTCTTTTCGACCTGTGTATTGTAGTATTACTTTACATGTTTGCTCTAGAATATTATCGTCCTTGGTCGCATAGTTTGACCTTGGTTAATGCTCAATTGAAATCATGCTTTGTTGAATCATTTTCAAGACCTAGACATGTTATCGTTGTGTTTGTGGCTACATACATGTTTATGAATTTGTGTTATGTTACGGGTTAGATTGTTCGGTTTTCTATTTACTAAATTGTTATTAGATTTGAGTTAGTTTGGTGCGATACATTGTCTAGCAGTTGAGAGAAAATGGATCCATGCAATGGATGTTGATTGCTATAATACATCGTCCCAAAACTTTTTCAGTTCTTCCTGTACTTAGAATTGAATACCAAAGTGCATAATCTGCTGTTGTTGCACCTATTTTTATCTTGACTAGAGTCATTTTTTTCCTAATCTTGAAGGATCCTGGGGTTACTGGTCGATTGCATTTTTTCAGCAGGTTGCTTCCTTGGGTAATAACATTGCCATTCATATTGCTGCTGGAAGNCTTGAAGGATCCTGGGGTTACTGGTCGATTGCATTTTTTCAGCAGGTTGCTTCCTTGGGTAATAACATTGCCATTCATATTGCTGCTGGAAGAAGCCTTAAGGTTAGTCATTTTGACGAGTACTTATGCCTATTTGGTTTGCATCTTGGAAACTATTTTTATGTTTTCGAAAATAATTTCTGGAAGAAAAGTTATTTGATTAGCTATTTTTTGTTTTTATTTTTATTTTTTGAAAGCTAAGAATAAAAAGTGGATAAATATAGATAACAAGTTATGACTGTTTTATGTGTTTTTGAAAATAATCTTTACAGAATTTAGAAAACACCACCGCAATTCCACCACCAACGCCACATTTTCACCACCACTACATTTCTTTTTTTATTGTTTTATGGGCTATTGTCCAAACGAGTTTTACTGTTTTCTATTCTGTAGGACTGTTTTTAAAATTATATAACCAAACAAGTTCTGCGACACAAAAAACACAAAAATATATTTTTGTAAAAATTTTCACAAAAACTATTTTCAAAAATCATTTAGGGTCTTAGTGGTTCAAGCCACTATTACAAGTATTTTGTTTTTGATTCTGAATTTGTTTTCGGTTTTCATACCATATGTGCAGGCCGTGTACAAATACTATCACGAAGATGGTACCTTAACCTTGCAGCATTTCATTATGTTCTTTGGGGCTTTTGAACTTTTTCTCTCTCAGCTACCAGATATCCATTCACTGAGATGGGTAAATGGGGTCTGCACTCTCAGCACAATTGGTTTCGCTGGTACAACCATTGGTGTGACAATTTATAATGGTAGGTTTTGTACATATATTTATTTATTTCGTGTCTCCGTGTGTTTGTCCGTCTGTTTACCTCATGTCACGATTGAGTATATTCAGGTTCCACAAGGTAATGACTTTCCTTTTAAGACTTAAAACTCTTTTATAGGAACAAAGATTGATAGAAGATCAGTTAGCCACAGTCTACAAGGAAGCTCCTCTACAAAGATATTTAAAGCTTTTAATGCTCTTGGTGCAATTGCCTTTTCATTCGGAGATGCAATGCTTCCTGAAATTCAGGTAATTTACAATCAACCTTATGTTGTTTCTTTGTTTTATACTTCAACAGTGAAGATTCTGAGTTGTTGGCAATTTGTATGAGATTTTTGTGTAAAATTGATGTCTTTAACTTTGAATGGCACTGAGCGGCTGGAGATTGATTGAAAAAGCAACCTAGCCACCCCTCCCCCCTTACACTACCTAGCCGGCTAGCCGCCTACCTACTCATGTTCGTAGCTCAATTGGAGGTCAAGAATGTGGTCCGACAGAAAAACAGAAATTGTCCGTATCAAGTGATACAATACGTGAATTGCTGAATAGTTCTTAGCTGACGAGCCAACACAAACCAAAAACTTGGACAACTAACCACAATATATATGGCTATTGTCTTGTCAGAGTACTGTAAGGGAACCTGCAAAGAAGAACATGTACAAAGGTGTATCAACAGCATACACCATCATTGTTTTCACTTATTGGCAATTGGCTTTCTGTGGCTACTGGGCGTTTGGATCAGGAGTGCAGCCTTATATCGTCGATTCTCTTACTACTCCGGCATGGACGACTGTTATGGCTTATCTTTTTGCAGTGATTCAAATATCAGGATGCTTTCAGGTAGTTATTCAACAACCTTCATGGTGAACAAGCTTTTACCAGTTCATATTACCGATAAATTTCCCAATTTGGAAAAAAACGACCTATCTAACCGTGACATTTTTTTTTTGCGTAGATTTATTGCAGGCCTACATATGCTTATTTTGAAGAAAAAATGTTATCCCGCAAAACAAATGCTCATTTTGACCTACGAAATCGAGTCATTCGTATGGTTTTTACAACTGTTTACATGAGTCTTATAACACTTGTGGCTGCAGCCATGCCATTCTTTGGGGATTTTGTTTCCATTTGTGGAGCAATTGGGTTCACTCCACTGGACTTTGTATTCCCTGTTTTAGCCTATCTGAAAGCTGGGAGAATCCCCCAAAATACAAAGCTTCGCCTTCCACTGTTGGTCCTTAATTTCGCGATTGCTATCTGGTTCTCGGTGGTCGGAGTTTTGGGTTGCATTGGAGCAGTTAGGTTCATTGTAGAAGATATTAAGAATTACAAGTTCTTTCATGATATGTAATAACATCAGTGATTATAGTCGATATATCGAATCCCCCCCATAGCTGCATCAATTGTTGTTTCTTAGTGAAGGGATATGTTATTTTTGTAAGTGATTACCTGTGAGAAATCATAATAGTGCACAGTAATCAAGTAAAAGGATAAATTGCACCCATGCACATAAGAGCTTGGGATCTCAACAATCAATTCATAATAGTGCACAGTAATCAAGTAAAGGATAAATTGCACCCATGCACATAAGAGCTTGGGATCTCAACAATCAATGTTTAATGGCAAACCAGAGACCAATACAGCACAACACACTACAGCACAGAGAGCAACTCAGTAATTTAATTTGTAAGGAAATGCGATACCACAACAATATGCTATTGTGAGGCATGCTCGATCAGGAACTATGCTATTGTGAGGCATGCTCGATCAGGAACTATGTTAACTTTGTTTGAGATCTAAAGACAGCATAGACTAATCAAGATATGTGAGCCTAAAAGAATGGAAGAAGTACGTTCATGGGGCTGGAACCTTGCGGGCATACGCCAATACCATCACAAAATCCTTTGCTGATGAGCTGATTGTTACTGGCACTCTATGTGGAGTCGAAGCAGATTCTAGCCACAAATCAACTAGATTATTCAGTTGCAGCGTGGGCACCACCGTCTCACCCATACATTTAATTTCAATCTGCATGACAATCAACAATTAGCAAAAAGTAGAAGCAAAAACGCTACACTGTCTATGGTCCACAGCCAGCAATCACTGAAAGACCAATGAAGTCATAGAATTTCTGAGTTCTTGTCACTATATGGAGTTCACATTCCGTCCTGTCATAAATTGAACGCATGGAGAAACAGGCTTTTTTTTTTGTAAAGATAATTATATCTGCCTCCTCCAAGGTTTGTCCAAACAACAAGAACAATCCTCTCACCTCATCTTCACTTGTAAGATCTAGTTTCCTCATCACGTACTTTTGGATGAAAGAGACAGGCATACTCCCATCCCTGTAGCAGAATGAGACAATATGAATGAAAGCTTCTCCTGGAATCCAAAGGATTTTCCTTTGTAAATGGATAAAAAAAAATATTGAACCATTTCAAATTCTTAAATAACCAAACTTCTAGTGACTCTTAGGCTCTCATCACAAACACTGATCTAAACATTTCAGCTTGCTCTCTCTGATAACATCATTTAAGAACAGTGTATTCCAACTATTGATCTGCTTGCACATGTCTAAGGGCCACCAAATAGCAACTCATTCCAACTAGCCATGAGGAGTGGGATAGATGAAACACATTGTATAACTAAACGACTTTGACCATCGTCGCATCGACACTGCAGATTTTCACTCCCAAGTTAAAAGTTTTTTGCCTCACAGTCACAACACCTAAAATCCAGTGAAAGTGTTGAATTGGCAGATGCAATGGAGATTGGAGAGCTAACCCTTCTGCTCAGATTTCAGCCTACATATTAGACCTACTGATTGGCCATAGGAAGTCTACACTTAGCACACTTATACCGTACAAAAGTTATACAAAATAATGCCACAAAAATAGCTTCATTGACGGATAAATATAATGCAGGCTGTTATAAGCTATTTAACAAAACTTCTTAAACTGAAATGCAGAAACCAACAAAACTACAAACAAAGAAAGCTTCAAAAGCAAACATGATGACCAGCACCTACTAGAATGATATGGAGATATTAGTAACTCACTTTATTCTCAAGTAGCTTGCAGATATCTGGGGCAACGGTGCACTTCCTTCCCTGAAACAATGGTGTCAAATGTAAGAAAATGAAGAGGCAGAAGAAATAAATAACCAGAATAAGTCTTCTAAGGGGATTTAATTTATCAAAGTCTAAAACCCAAGTAGATTCTCACTGTTCTTTGGAAGCCACTAACGAGAACCAAATTGGATAGAGTCTTCTTTCGTGTTTAGCACTGGCAGCATCAAGCGCATCTTGGGGTGAAACACCTGACTCCCCAAAACAAGCTGCCTTTTTCTGGCGAATCCTTCGGAACTTTATATGTTTTTCTGATTCTGGAGGGGTAGGATCAGTGATTACCTTATCATCTTGAACTTTCAATTTTTGTCCATGTCCCTTAACTTTGGTTTTACATACGTGTCCTTCGCTGTCAAGGGCATGTAGAGGTTCTAATTTAGCAGCAGATCCTTGTGAAGTGAACTTTGAGGACTTACTCCTATTTGCAACTTCCACCAAACAAGTTAAAGGTTTCCACAGGTCAGCTTTCCCTTCCCATGCTACTTCACAATTCCCTGTCGCCTTATCAGGTACAGGGTGGCTAGAGGGCTCAGCAGTAAAGGAATTCTGCGCCAATTATGTCATTAAGTACTAAAAGTAGCAGTTCTTGTAAACATATGCACAAGGTTGACAGTAAACATGAGCATAAAAAGCCTAAATATGTAGTGACCATTGCAAGATACAAGTGAACATGTCCCTTACCTGCCTTGTATTCTGAGTGAACTTGTTCAGAGTCTCAGGTGAGCTAGAGCTCTCTGGATGATCTTCCACAGAATTTTCCTCTTTCTTAACCAGTTTCTCAATGGAAAACCTGGTACATCTTAAAGCTTTCCTGGCAATAGATTTTGATCTTCGTTTGGTCAAGGCAGACTTGGATGATACTCTAGGGGTGCTAACCACCAAAGATGAGAGTGATCTCTCCTTTCTTTTCACCGGTAATGAAACAGAAGGCACAACTTCAGGTGCCTCCACCTTTCTTCTTTTGAAAGGGAAGATCTTGGCTCTAACATCTTGCAAGTTGTTGTCTGGCCTGATAATAAAAATCAACAGACATGCTTCTCAACAAAACACCATGTCTTTCCAAATGTACAGTTTTTTTACATGAAGTATGTCAAAGAAGCACGTTTCATAGTTGCAAATGAGGTATACTGGCATATAAAGTAATTGCATAGTGAACTCTGAAATCCATTTTGCATATGAGTTCTAGATCAGATAACAAGGTATATTATGGAGTTCAATGATGACTGCAGGCCCATGCACATGCATGTGATGTGCAAGTTCCTGCAAGTGTGGAAGCAGCAGCATGATACAATTTAAGTGATCTGAGAAGAAGATTAAATCAACCTCAAGATCCCAGCTACAAACTATGACTCTAGTGTTCCAAAAACTACCAACGGGCCTTTGGTCCAATGGTATTCCTTACCCTGTGAAGACTTTGCTTTCTCGAGGTCAAGGGTTCAAGTCCCCCCTCCCCCCCACACACAAAAAACAAAAAAATAGTGTTCCAAAAACTAGAACAGAGATGGNCTAATGGTATTCCTTACCCTGTGAAGACTTTGCTTTCTCGAGGTCAAGGGTTCAAGTCCCCCCTCCCCCCCCACACACAAAAAACAAAAAAATAGTGTTCCAAAAACTAGAACAGAGATGGAAACACATAAGAAGCACCAACAACCTAACACTTTATATGAGGCTCCCCACTCCCATGAACTATTGGTAAATAGGTGTAATGAGCGGATCTCCAATATGACATGGGACAATTAAGACACACATGAGTATGTTTTTTCTGTCTCGTATACCTGCCTATGCTATTGACAACAGGAAAATAAAGTAATTAAGCAGAAAAACTGCACATAGGTTTTGAACTCAATAGATCTCACACTTATAGGCTTCAATATACGTCATACTTTCCCCACATTTTCTTATGGTCACCAACTGCAGTTCTCAAAATACATAGGACTGACCCTGCGTTCATAAAATTATCCAGCCTCAACCAGAAAGATAGAAAGAAAAGGAGGAAAAAGGTTGGAGACCAATGGCTTCAATATTTGCATGAGAGTGTGTGAACCAACTTGTCCACTACTTGCATCCGTTCTGCTCAACCAAGAGCATATGTAGAGAAGCAAAAAAATAAAAATAAATACAAGTGTACAATTTCCCAGGAAAGTGATGTCTTTGACTTTGTTTTCCGCAAATTCTCGACTGCTATCATCTGATTTTCTTCAGGTGATATATTTCTGGGTAGAATGATCATCGAACTGGATATTGACGTCCCTAGTCTAAGACATTAGGATCAGTTAAGAAGCCATTGTTCACATTAGTNTCGACTGCTATCATCTGATTTTCTTCAGGTGATATATTTCTGGGTAGAATGATCATCGAACTGGATACTGACGTCCCTAGTCTAAGACATTAGGATCAGTTAAGAAGCCATTGTTCACATTAGTCAACAACTTTGAATGCTTTTATGATTCATTTCACTCACTAATTAGGAGATGTACATAACTACAACCACTATTCTATTTCCTTACGAAATGTTACTGAGTACTAAACATATGACATGGGGTACCAAATAAATCCTTTAGACAATATTTCAGAAGTGCACATGCATGTACTTGGATCACTTTACAACTCATACACCATAAAAAGAAGTACTACTTGAAGGTACCAATGGTATAGAGTACAATTTAACCGATGTATTGTACTTCCATCTCATCATGCACACGACTCCAAGCAGAGTAGGGATGCATCCCCAACACGTGCCATGTCATGCTCCATCAAATAGGAGACAACCTAAAAAGACACTTTTGCATGGTATAGAAATGTGTGTATGAGTGTTTGAGAGAGAGAGTGGGAGAAAGAGAGAGTAATGCAACACTTCAGAAGAAATATCTGACCTCAACTTCTCCAATGGTACACAGCCTAAATCAATATTGCATATTGGACAGCATTCCACTTCCTCATCGGAGATCTTCTTATATATGCACTGCCAGCAAACTGGTGAAGTTCAAAACACAAACAATGAGTAATTTGCCATTCACTGTATAAAGCAATGCCTCAGCCAAAAATATAGAAGTGATAACAGTGTTGTGTTTTACGAGCATTGCAAAGTAAATTTGGAGTGTGAAAATTTATTACGTACATGCTCTATTGTTTTACGAGAAGAGGAAGAATAGAAAGGGAAAGGGAGAGAGGAGAGTGGGTAGGACAGTAAGACATCTACCATAAGCACTGGAAGGTAATTCAGAGTTTTTAGTGTCAACAATCTCAAGCAGAAATTGAAACAAACAGAAACCAGAAGCAATGAGCCGCTAGAGACTAAACAAACAGAGGTGAAAATAATATCTTGGAAGAAAAAAAGGGTGACGAATTAAACCAAGTTTTTCATCTTCTAAAGACTGTGCTAACTGCAACTCTGTTTTGAAGTATCAAGCATGAAAAGAAGAATGGATTCTGAACACGTGTTTTATTGATAACCCAAATCACCCTGGTTAGAATGAAAAATATCGTAACTTGACAGATACTTCACATCAATAGCCCAACTTATATACATCGCCACTCAATAAACACAAAATTCCATTTGCCTGATCATATCAATGAAACAGGAAGCGCTTATGGAATTCACTCAACAAATTCATCTCACGCTGATCAATCTAGCTGCCTAAACTGACCCTGCCAATATTCATATCTTTAACAAGAGACAAACAAGCATTCGGTCTAACAGGATCAATGACTAAAGACCCATACACAAATGTGAAAAACCCAGATCACGATAAGGCAATCCAACCATCCAAGTCAAACCCAGATGGAAAGGCGACAAATAGACACAAGTCACACAACCCAGATCATAAAAGGTACAAAACACACCAGAAAATACCACAAACTATCCATAATTTGAAGAAAGACCATTGAAATAATGTCCAAAAAAAGAAGACTAAATCATGAAGAAAGAGACTCACACGTATGAAGACACTCCGAAATAGTCGTGGCATCTCTGAAAAGCTTGTTGCAGAGCGGGCATGTCATGCATGCCGCAATTGTCTCTGTCCTAACTTTCACCACCTGATTCGACATCTCTGTATCCTGTCCCTCAACTCCCAAGTCCCAACGTCTATCAGAGCTCAACTCACGTACCTAAACGGTGCATGTTAGCAGCACCAGACAACACATGAAATTTACGTCCATTCTCCTACACATATCTGCATTAGCCACAAGACAAGATCCACAGCAATCAGAGAGGAATCTACCAAATATAACACAGAAAATTAGAAAGATACATGTGAATGGAGATGACAGAGAACCGTGAATCTATGAAGAACGGATTGGGGTATTGAGGTGAGATTGAGAAGTGGATATGAGTGATTTGTGAAGAACTGAGATGGGTTGGTGATGGATTTGGACAACGAGTGTCGAGGATGATCAATTGGGGATTGGGAGACGAAATCGAGAGAGAGAGAGAGGCCCGTTTCATGACAGCATGAACCAAACAGTTCTAGCTTCTATTCTATATTATTTTTGTATAAAAAAAAAAATTGGGAGTTCATGGAAAGTGAGGTGTAGGGATAAAGTGCGCCGGTGGCGATTTAGGGGTAACCCTGCGCACCGTGTTCCATGCGTGCGACGGCGTGTTTTGGGGGCTTGGGGAGTAATTGCGTGTGCTGCCGCATATTAGCCTTGCCTGCATGCGGCAAGGAAAATTATGAGCATATTAATGACTAACCTACAATATTAATGTTAAATCAAAATTGAAATAAACAGGTTTTCTTTACAAAAAAAAAAAAGTAATGTTACGTGAATTTAAAAAATAAATTTGATAATTTCAATCATTAAATAAATAGTAAATTTTAATAAATATTGAGATTCATAGTAAAATCAATGATTACAATTATTAAGTCTAATTTTTAAGTTTATATAACATTGTTCTTACGAAAATTATGAACAATTTTTTTTCTTTTTTTTTTTGTGAGACAATACTACAAGGACAAACACAATGGATTTCGAATTTGCGATATTAAGGTCCAGCAGTAAGAACGGTGGGCATTAGACCAACATATAAATGCACTAGTTATTATACTTGCTCTTTTGACTATACTAATTAGAAGTTCAATTCGATCTTTTGCTTCTTTCTTGAGATATTATATTTATTTTAGTATTTTTGTAAATCTCTTTCATGTTTTGTTTTAAAAGAGGGATCCAGATCCTCTCTATTACTCATTTCATTTAATTTCATTCAATACACAACTAGATGAATGAAACGTGTCTAAATTTAAACTAACGGATTAGATTTCTACAAAGCAACTATATTGTTTAAACCATAGTTAATTGTACACATTAAATTGCACTGCTTTTATATGGTAATACATTTTNTGAAACTAACGGATTATATTTCTACAAAGCAACTATATTGTTTAAACCATAGTTAATTGTACACATTAAATTGNTAAAACGTGTCTAAATTTAAACTAACGGATTAGATTTCTACAAAGCAACTATATTGTTTAAACCATAGTTAATTGTACACATTAAATTGCACTGCTTTTATATGGTAATACATTTTTTTTTTGTTCAACGGTAAAAAGTGTCTCACGAGCTTATATGCACCACGACTAATCTCTTCTCCAATCCGATCAAAGATAAGTCATCCACGCTACGACTAGGATATTTATAAAAGATAAATTCCTCATGACTTGACTCTAAAAAATTATCAAGATACTATCTCAAGACATTTAAATTTATAATTCGTTCCGGTTACTATAAAGTGTTTATAGCTATACATTATGGAAGCCGCGGTGGTTGTTTTTTCTTTTCCTTTTTTTTTATTTTTTTGTTTTAGAGCTGATCTTTCAACACCTTGATTATCACAAAATTGACTTTCGAGCTGTTTGAGCATATGTTAAAACCAAACCCACCCCCTGTTTTACCAAGGAAAAAAGCAAAAACTCCTTGCCTAATAGTACGTCCCCATCCTTCTCCTTGACTCTATTTTCCTACCTAGGAATCCAACCCTCTCTTCAAATCCTTGCCGGGAAGACGAAGGAAAATAGTCTTTATCATACTGTTTGTAGTACTGTAATAGATGTCGAACTTGTTACCCCCATTAAATAAGAACGGGCGTGCACAAGAGCTATTCATGGACCCTTTCCTTTCTGTTGTTGCCCGTGCTTTCCCAAACCAAGCCAGAATTTCTGTCAATGGCCAAAATAATTCATCCTATATTTGTGTGCATGCATGGACATGCACTGGTATTGATCAAGTAGTCTTTGTGAGAACTTAAAAAACCAAATAGCACAGGATGCTAACACCTAACAACACCAAATGTGGGAATTAGCGTATAAGAGCTGAAAGAAAACTCACACTGGGGGATCAAATAGAAAATATTATTACTTCAGGGGAGCCAAATAACTATTTATGTAAAATTCTATGGGGAAGAAGCAAAATTTGAGACATGGGCATCCCCAAACCCAAGTATAGTTCTGCCTCAATACTGGTACTGTAGAACCCAAAAGGCCAAAAACATTGGTTTGAATCTGCATTTTTAGGAAAGATTGAATCTTTGACACATATGTATGTAGGCCAAAATTTAATCGCCTTCTGCGCTTCAAAGCTTTCCATGAGCAAATATAGATCAACTAACTAACACATGAAAATGGATGGATCGAGTTGTTGATAGTATTTTAAAGCCACCCAAAGCTTGGAAAGAGAGATGTGGCAGCATGCTCCTGGTAATCTGAGCTTTTTTGTCACTCCCTCAAAACTCGATATGTAAATATCAAGATCCAACAAGTCCCTTGTGCCGAGCATAAGAAATTATTGATAGGAAAAGAGATCCACAAGCAACAGCGGTAAGAATGACCACCTAAATCAGCAAAAAAGAAAAAGATTGTAAAAGCGAACGACGCAGACGTAGACCTAGACAAGTGCTGCTAGTAAATATCTTAGATGACGTGTGTACCCATTTAAATACATGCCCATGGCCTTCCTTCCATTGATAAGGGATATTCATGCCAAATATTGCAGCCACCAGAGAATAGACAGACAAACAAACAGTACCAGAGCTTAAGAAGAGCTCTAGCTGCAACAACAGAGAAACCAGAAAAATGAATCTATTAAATGTACAAAAAAACAGAATGAACCAAGGGGTTTCCGTTTGCATAAATGCTTTATTAGTAACTTGCCTGCAAAGGTTTTTTTACCACTAGTGGGCGACCTCAAAAGCACATTACAGTAAATGATGCAAACCCATAAGAGAGAGGGAGATATAAACAATGAGCAAGATAAAAGATTAATTTAGGTATTGGATGCAGGCATATGGCACCTGAATCAGCTGATTTCGATGATTGTCCAGCTGCAAAAAGGAAAGCAAAATCAGCAAACATAATTCATGTCCAAATTCTTTGACACTCCTCAATTGCCAACAAAAATTATAGGAAAGATCCAGTTTTCAGGGAAAGTAAGATCATAATGAACTCCACAGTCCCCTCAACAGGTGTGTTATATTTGGTTTAACACCAACTGGTCCACATTTGGTTACCTGAATATTGATGTAGTCCTCTGTGTCATCAATGTATTCACGCAACTGGAAACAAAGGATTATACAGTGTGGGCATCAATTTGCCAGCATAAAATAGCTCGAAGAAAAAAAATCAGTATGTTTTGCTTCACTCCATACATATAACTTTTGAAACATCAATATTTTGTCTCCCTTGCTTCCTTTGTTTATGTAGTTAGCTACGTGAGTTAACAAGGATGGTGCATACCACGGTCAGTTTGTTCATCGTGCTCTCAATTTCCATAAAGTATGCCTGCAAAATATACTCGTGGTGAGCACATTGGCTTAGAACTTCAGTTCTTAAAGATTGATTGCAATTAAATCACATTTGCAACCTCAAGCAACATTTCAAGTTCCTCAACATCATTTTCTCCATGGATTGTTCCCACACTTGTCCTACTTACTCTGGAAACCTTCGAGCCTGCTGTAGGAGAGTTTAGAAACCAATTAGACACACCATAACCACTTACAGGAGAAGCAGGCCCAGCCAGTTTCCTTGATAAGTAGAGGTCTGCCATGTCATCATCGTCATCTAGAAGTTGTTCAAGTTCATCTCTTACCTGGATATCATTATGCATCTGAGACTGTAAATCTAACTTTAGAAACCAAAAATCACTTCATTCATGCAATTCATTAACTTCAACAATAACGGTACACCAAGACTTGCACTAGCATGCATTAAAATGTCAAATGTATGAAGTAAAAAAAACATCAGTGTAAGAGGTAGAAATCGCTACGGATCTCATCCCTCCACTTGAAGGATTCCGGCTGACCTGGCGGCACCGAGCTCCAGTAGTCTTTACCTCTCTTCGCCAATAGGACCCTTTCCTAAGGCAATCCCACTATGGAGGACCTCCATAGGAAGTGTTCACTTATATGGCAGGGGGGAGACGACTCTCTTCCGATGTGGGATTGCCTTAGGAAAGGGTCCTATTGGCGAAGAGAGGTAAAGGCTCCTGGGGCTTGGTGCCGCCAGGTCAGCCGGAATCCTTCAAGTGGAGGGATGAGACCCGTAACGATTTCTACCCCTTACATAAAAGGCGCCTTTTTTGTTGGTACAAATTCTTGCATAACTCAAGGATTTCGGCTGACCTGGGTTAACCCCTTGGACGACCCCCCAGTAGCCTTTTACCTCCATCCCACATCGGGTAGGAGTCGTCTCCCCCCTGCCATATAAGTGAACACTTCCTATGGAGGAGGTATCCACTAGCCACTTGATCAGTTGATGGGACATTTCCAAACACTCCAAGATGAAGACACGTGTCCTCGGCATCAATATATTCTTGTTACTGTGATCATGACACGTACTCGTCAGTTCACAAGTCCCTTTTCCCCCGAGGTACTGTTCATAGGGATCAATGACACTCAATACGTTAAGTACCAACACGTATCCCTCAATCGGATATAGGGTACATCGGTCCCTACATGTACCACTCCCTCGGTACCGAGATGTTGTACCACTCCCTCGGTACCGAGATGTACCCGTCCAAGTTGACTTTTTCTGCTCCTGTAGAGGCTATTGATG